GAAACTGCCAAATTGCTTCCAAAGCAGCTGCACTAACTCATTTCTTCCAGCAATGTAGGAGCTCAGATTTCCCCACTTCCTGGCCAACACTTGCTTGTGTCCATCTCTCTCAAGATGGCCATGCCAGTGGGAAGCAGAATCTCACAGCAGTTTTGCTATCTCCCGAGGGACTAACAATTTTTTTCTTTTTCTTTTCTTTCTTTCTTTTTCTTTTTTTTTTTTTTTGAACAGGGTTTCTCTGTGTGGCCATGGCTGTCCTGGAACTTGCTCTATAGACCAGACTAGCCTCAAACTCACAGAGATCCACCTGCCTCTGCCTCCTGAGTTTATTTTCATTCATATATGTGTGTGTACCTGTGTGATTTTTTTTGGTACCATGTGCACGCAGGAACTGGAGTTGCAGGCAGTTGTGAGCCAACATATAGATGATGGGAACCAAGTCTGAGCTCTATCCTCTGCAAGAACACTGAGTGCTCTTAACTACTGAGCCATCTCTCAAGTCCCATTGTTTCTCTCCCGCGTGCTTTCTGTGTGTGTGTGAAAGAGAGAGAGACAGAGAGATAGAGACAGAGAGACACAGAGAAAGAGAGACAGACAGACAGACAGACAGACAGACAGACAGAATCTTGTTCTGTAGCCCTGGCTAGCTTGATACTTGCTCTGAAGCCCAGGGTGACCTTGACACAAGGCAATCCCCCCCCTGTTTTAGCCTGCTGGATGCCAGGATTGCAGGTGTGAATCACCACATCAGACTCTTTGGGAAACCTGCACCAATTATTGTAGGCTTTGATAAACAGGATTTTGAGCGGAGGCATCTGTCAGAGGTATTTCTTCAGAAGACACACGGGGGATGACAGATGTGGGGACTGGAAGTTTGCATTGGCTTGGGGAATTTTCCAAGGTTCTTTGTGCCTGGCTGGGAAAAGGACTTTGTTATCAGCTCTGTGCCTCAGGCAGGTCCTTCACCACCTGGAAAATGGCCCGAAGCGTCCTGGACTCACCCAGTTGTGAGCATATTTATTTACTTATTTACTTACTTACTTACTTACTTACTTATTTGGCAGGATCTCATACAGTACAGGTTGGCCTAAAGCTATGCAGTTGAGGCTGCCCCCAGTCGCTGCTCTTGCCTCCCCCTTCCGTCCTCTGTGACTGCAGACGTGAAACACCGCTTCCGGCCTGCTCACACGCTTTCCACTGCCAGCAACGTCTGCAGCCCAGAGATCCCTGGCTCATGCACAAGGCAAGGATTTCCAAGACTGGAGCTTCATTCAGTGTCCTTAGTGTGTGGCTCTGGAGAATGGCTCAGCGATTAAAAGAACTTGTTGCTCTTGCAAAGGACCCAGGTCCGGTTCCCAGCACCCATATGGAGGCTCACAACCATCAGTAACTCCAGTTCCAGGAGACCGGATGCCCTCTTCTGACCTTCTTGGGCACCAAGCATGCACGTGGCACACAGACATATATGCCAGCAAAGTAATCATACACATAAAATCAATACATCTTTAAAAAGAAAGATCTTAGTGCCTTGAGAGACAGAGATTCAAGTTTGCTCCAGTTTTATCTCCAAGCAACTTCTGTCAAATCTTTTTGCACTAAGCAGTTCCCAACCTATGAGTTGCAACTCCTTTGGGGGTTTCACGGGGTCGCCTAAGACCTCTGAAACCTACAGATGTTTACATTATTATTCATAACAATGGCAAAATTAGTTTGGAAGTAGCAATAAAAATAATTTTATGGTTGGGCGGTCACCACCACATGAGGAACTCTACTGAAGGGTATCAGCACCAGGAAGGCTGGGAACCCTTGAGCGACAGCCTTCACCCTTAGTGTCACGTGCTCATATTGTACCTGTTATAAGGTAATTGGGAGGCTTCAGCCAAACAAGAATGGTAGACCATGCTTTTTTGTGTTGTATTTTTTGAAACAGGGTCTCACTATGCAGTCCTGCTCACCCTAGAACTCACTAGATAGATCAAGCTGGCTTCGAACTCACTGTGATCCACTAGCCTCTGCCTGCCGCCTGTTGAGGTTGAAGGCCTTGACCACTTCTAGCACTTGGGAGGCAGAGGCAGGCGGATCTCTGTGAGTGGAAGGCTAGCCTGGTCTATCTAACGAGTTAGAGGCTAGCCAGAGCTACATAGCAAGCAAGACCTTATCTCAAAAGTGCCACCATAACCAAACAACCAAATAAGCAGGTAAACGCCGCACAGCCGGGTGTTTACACCTATTAACGCACCAGACGCCATTCTGTGGATTCCATATTCAACCAACGGTGTGTCCCAGTAAATGAACGGGCCACTTTGTCCCCAACGGTGTAAGAGGCAAAGCTTGGCGGTCCAGCATCCTGACTGAGATGGACGGGGCAAGGATTCAAGTCGAGGAAGACCAGCTTGAGCTCAGTCAGCACCCACACCTCCCGCAGGAATCCGTCCGTTCCCAGGCAGTGAAACTCCAAAGCCAGCCCTGACTACCCGAAACTCCACCACCGAGAACTGGCTCTCGGCCCCCCTCGCTGGCTGCCGGCTCCCTCCTTTTCTCCCAGCCCCACCCTGCCACCTCCACTTCCCTCCCTGGCCCTGGGGCTCTGCTTCTGTTTCAAACCTGCTGAGCTACAATTCCTTCCAGGTTCCCTCATCCGTAGAATGGGGATAGTAACAGTGCAGCGCGCTGCGGGGATCAGAGACACTGAGGGGAAGTGTGCCGAGTGGCTTCTAGCGACAGACCAGGGACCATCGCTTCCACTGTCTGGTGAATGACACCTTTGAAGACCTTAGCCACAAGCCGAGTGGGAGGGGCTGAAGGACTGGAGTTCTGAGGTGTGGGGCAACAGCTGCCCAAGGTTATTCAGCAGGAAGTAGGGGGCAGGACTTTGTGAGCGACCCCGCCCCCAGACTTTCTGAGTTCAAATCTTACTACTGCCTCTCTCTGTTGGACACATGAACAAGTCATAATCAATATTTCTTATCCACCTTCTGCACATCACACCAAGCCCCATTCAGAGAGATTTGACAGTGATCATAGCAGGAGCTTACAATGCAAATGATTTACACGGCAAGAAAGCCAAGCCTTGCTTGAGGCAGAACACAAAGAACAGTGAAAGAAAGGAAAAAGCCTTCTGGATGAAAGAGGGGAAATAGGCTAGGGAGGCTTCCTGGAGGAGGAGAGGGTTAAACTGGGCCTGGAAGGACCAATGAGATATTTAAACTGTTTTTTGTTTGCTTGTTTGTTTTGTTTTTTGTTTGTCAAGACATGGTTTCTCTGTAGTTTTTGGTGCCTGTCCTGGAACTAGCTCTTGTAGACCAGGCTGGCCTCAAACTCACGGAAATCCACCTGCCTCTGCCTTCTGAGAGCTGGAATTAAAGGCGTGTTCCACCACCACCTGGTGACATTATTATTATTATTATTATTATTTTGTTTTTTCAAGACAGGGTTTCTCTGTGTAGCCCTGGTTGCCCTGGAACTCAATCTGTAGACAAGGCTAGGATTAAAGACATGGGCCACCAGTGCCCTGCGAGATATCATGGACTAAAGATGTCTGTGTTCCAGAGACAATGTCTGACTGACGTAGCCACAGCTGCCGATTCCTGAGGGTCTGCACATTTTCTCTTGAGATTTCTCTGTGATCCTATGAAGTATCATTAGGGATGAAAAAAACAAGACCCAGAGAATTAAGAAATCTTGTCAAACAGCTTGGGTAAAGGGTTAGGGGTGTGAAATTCAGAAAGCTGGGGACAAAACCTGGGCTGCCTAATTCCTAATGGCCGAATGATGTTTTAATTTTGAGACTCAAACTGAAGGACTTTGAATGCCAAGGCTCAAACTTAAAAAAAAATAAAAATAAAATCCCCCACACAGCTGACCTTGAATAGGCCAGCACCTGCTGACGCCCCTCTCACTAGCCGTCCAATACTCTCTCAGCCTCTTCAATTGGAGAGATGTGAGCTGTGGATGTTCAGCAAGGCGCGTTTATGAATAAGGAAGACTGTTGAGGTGAAATAATTGTTCAGGAGAAACCTGAAGGTGTTTAACCCAGTAAGAGGGCTGGGTTCTGGGAAAATGACTGTCCCCCCCCTCCACCCCCACCCCGCAGACTCTGGACCCTCGCCCCTGCTGTGCCTGCCAAGGCTACACCAGAGCTTGGGAGAGTCGGGGAGGAGCTTTCACTGGAACAAACAAAGACACCCAAGCTGGACTGTCCTAGATTTGACTGCCAACACTCAGATCAGCAAATCTGTGAATGACCCTGGGCAAATTGCAAATTACCCCGCCCCTCTGACTCTCTAGCCTTACCTATCCCCCTGCTCAGAATTGATGGGATAAATTAAACAACGTAAAACAGGTTATAGTCTAATCTTGGTGTGCTGTACCGGGTACAGTAGGTGCCCCATAGATGTTAGTTAGCTCTTTCTGAAGAAATATGAACGGGAGACTCCGCCCTTTCTTTTCTGCCCCTCTGCCAATTAAAGAAACAGGTGTCTGGCTTTCATTTGAAGAGAAAGGGAGATACATTGGCTATATTAATTAATTAATATATTAATAAATGAATATAATCTAGCCAAGCAACAATGCAAACAAAAGCTCCTGTGGCCCGGAAAAG